GGGGTATTCAGAATGCATGCTGTCTTGGGGGGGAGGGGAGAGATAGGGAGAAAATTTGGTACTCAAAATCTTGTGGAAGTGAATGTTGAAAACCAAATATTAATTAATTAATTTTAAAAATATAGAAAAATATCCCTGAATTGTGGGTTAGTTCTAATTTTATGAACCAGATCACCTCTGTCTGATGTGACAGAACATGAGAAGTAATAATCATGTATCTAGAGTAAGAAATGATGAATTAGAAAGAACAACACAGGTGGAATTATGGAATTAACAGCAACAACAACAAAGAAGAACATTTTTCTATTTACTTTAATTGCATAATGGGTTTTTGGCAACAGATTTTTGGAGTGAGGAAGGTGGAGTGACACACCAGACAGATGACTAAGAAAGGATCATTAAAGTCTATCAGTTTAATAACTTGTGAAGAGAGAATAATTTATGAAGCCATAATGGTTTATCATTATTACATGCAGAGAAATACTGTCTATAGAATCTTCCCTAGCCAAAGCAAGAGTAACTTCTTATAAAACAATGAAAACTGAATGCTGTGAAATTATAATGACTACGCTTGACCCCAAATGAGACAAGGACTATGGACTGCATTTAATGTCAGCATATGTTGGTTAGTTTTGTTGCACTGAGTTTTTTTTTTTCCCCTCCTTTTTATTCTTTGTCTAAAGAGATGGTTTGGGTGGTGGTGGGGTGGGGAGGGGAGAAATTTAGTAGGAAATGAAAGTGATATAAAAATAAAAGATAATACAACTATTTAAAAGATAAAAAAAGAGTATCTCTTATTCTCATCATGGGACCATAATTAATGAATTCCCTCTCATAAGTAAGGACAATAAAGTAAGAATCTCTGATAGCAAATAATATGGGGATAATGATAGAGAGGGATTGAGAGCCCAATCTTTCATCTACAACAAAATAACCCCTAGCAAACAATAAGTAGATCTTTCTCTACAAATTAGGTATTATTTGAACTATGAATTCCCTCCTAAGGCAGAGGAGCCAAATTGGATGAAAGAATGATTGAATGCTTTACACCTTCCTACCTTCATTTACACTGTTTATTTCAACCTCTCTTCTTCATCTATCTCAATTCTACTTATTCTTCAAAACCCAACTCATGACACCTCCTCCATGAAGTCTTTACTAATTACTCCAACTTACAGTGATGGCTGCCTTTTCAAACCTGTATAGCCATATGAGATTATAACTGTCCCTGCCACCAGTTTAACCCATCATATATTAGCTTGCATTAAATATTATCTTTCCAGTTATCTCAACTAGATTTTAAACCAGAAATTTACAGCAGCTGGCAGCACACTTACCAAGTTTTGTTGACAGAATCAAGCCTATCTGTCTAAATGGCTGTTTCATACCTGACAAATTCATAAGTTACCTTGAGAGTTTGTAGGAGAGGCAAGGAACCACTTGCCCACATCTGTGGAGACCTAGGCATTTATATTTGGTGATTTTCCCAGTGTCAGCTTTGGGTAAGGGGTAATAAAGTGATCTTTTGGGGTAGTCCCCAAGATTAGACCCGGTCCAGGTGAATCCAGACCATGGAGTGCTCAGCTGCTGGCTACTCCTACAACGTAAGTTAATAATAACATTAATAACAACAATAAAAATAAGAATAGATGATAATCATATGATGCCGCTACATGTCACTAGAGAGCTCAACATAGGCTTACAGTTTTTTTCTTTAAAGTTTAGGGCAACTGGTCCTATGGGTTCACATAGTTCCTTCTCCCTGCTTTTTCAGGGAGTTATTAGTTAAACCAGTTATTAATGAATGTTAATAAGCTCAACGTTCCTAGGTAGGGAAAGTAATCCTTTCTTTCTACAACCGTTGAGCAGAAACTGGTCTCTTTGCTCTATAGCACCCTCTGAAAAATCCAGCAAATAAGAACTTGGGGTAGAAAGAGAATAGGACTCCATTGATTAGGGAATGACTAAACAAATCGTAGTTTACAGGAATGTGATGGAAAGTTATTTGGCTGTAAGTGTAACTGGGCTTGCTTGTGCATGCCCAGATCAATTAACATGAAAGCTCCCTGTATCCCCCACCACTTAGGTGGAGGTATCCTCTTTTGATTGGCTGCAAAGCCAGAAAGGCTGCAACTTTTAAAATGACTAGACTGGGACAATCTCTCTCTTTTTCATACATACCCTTTCTTGCAGAGGGTGAGGATCACAGTTCATAGATAGCACAGGTGCCATAAACTGAACCAGTGAAAAGAGAAGGACTTCCATCCTCTGCATGCCCTCTCTTTTATCACGCTCCAAGAAATAGATCATGGGAGGAGGGGGAAGTGTCTGTTTCATTCTGTTTGTCCTCAGTTTCAGGTGCCAGAGGTGATCCTCATCAGATCTAGGAGTTCAAGCCATGGTGACCTTGGAGGCAGGATTCCAGATGGGATGACTCAGCCAGCCTAGTAGGGTAGCCCTGAGAAGCCAGGGTGCCTGGGGATTGGAGGGGATCCCCAAGGTGTTTAAACTTGAACAGGAGTTGTGCTCTATAGAAACTGAACTAAACTGTGAAGTTAACCCTCCTTCCCTCTGAAGAAACTGAGAATATAAGGGGAGAAGAGAATTAAGCCCCACATATTGGGAAGTGTTTATATATTGCTATTATACCTTTTGAAGTAAATATTTCTTTGCAAAAGTTAATCTTACTGGAACTGAGGTACAAGGGACTCACCCCTCCAATTGAAGGAACATCATTGGTGGTAACTGGAGACATTTACAAAGAGCCTAGTTGCTCCCAATCCTCTTAAGGGTATCCCTTGGGAAGGGCTGTGATGTAACCTACCTGACCTTCATGCAGTGGGGAACAGGGAGTAGGACAGTCAGTGTTACATAAGGGACAATGAACCCAACCCTTAAATTTTATAGATGAGGAAATTGAAGGTTAAAAGGTTAAAGGTTAAAAGACTTACTCAAGGTCACTCAGGTAATGCATATCAGTGGCAGGAGTTGAACCCAGGTCCTCTGACTGCAGAGCCAATGTACTTTCTACTAAGCCATGCATCCTCCTCCCCACCCCACCCCACCCCACCCCACCCCTACACACGCACACTCTCAAGACCCATCATAACAGCAGTTAGGTTCTTTTTTTTTTTATGCCCTGACCCTTTAAATCATACAGTAAAGAAGTCAATGGACTCTAGCTTATCTGTTCTAATGGATGCAAGCAATGTCATGGAAACCCTAAAAGAGAGATAAATGATATCATAGAGACATCATTTCTACCCATCTTTGGAGTGTATTCAATGAAGTGTATCCTTGCTGTACATTAGACTTCCTTGGCCACCATGTTGATTAAAGGGGGCATATCAATAGAGCTAACCTCCCTACTGAAAAAGAGGCAAATATACTCCCAGATAACTGACAGTGCCTGTGTTTTCCTACCTTACTTATCCCACACAACACAAAAAAACAAAGTAAAATTGTCATTTCCTGTTAGTAATGGGTGATTTCTGGTAGGATTGATCATCAAGACAGTGACTGTCTGCAAGGTTGGTCTATTGTCCTTTTTCTGACCATCTACCATGTACAGCATAGGTGAGAGATTCAATACTGCCTTAATTCCACAGTGACCACATCATTGCTTTCCTAGTCATTTCCATCCACCACTACCCCATCAGGAAATGGCTTGTTGGTAATTACTGCTAATTAACAGTAAGGAAGCAGAGAAGATCTGCTCCAAAAATGGAATTGCTTTATCCCAAGGAAAGAAGAGAAATGTTGTAAAAGAGAAAAGAGATGCGTTGACCTGTTCCCTTTTTCCTTAATAATTGGTGGTTTTCAGCTCCCCTAAAAGTCATTTTGGGTCACATACTTTGGATGTTTCTGTCAGTTTCCTAACTAGTAAAGGATCTAATGATAAAAAGTTTGCATCTATCCAGGCAGGCGATATGTAGAGAGAAAGATTTTATTGTATTGAGAACCCTCAGCCTCACTGCTAAATTTCCTAGAGGTTGGAACACTGTTCGCCAAATCAGAAGGCAAAACTTGTGATGAAGGTGTCTAATGGCTCTGGCCTCTGTTTCTCCTCCTTTCCTAGTTTTCAGTCTCTGGCCCTTAGTCCACTCACCCTGTCCCCTAGGCTTTTGGCACATTTGTCTCTGGGAGTCTCTCACATTCAGCCCCTCCCCTCTCCCCAACTACTTTCTTCCCCTCTCTTCAGTCTAAATTTGGCTAGCTGCATTTAATCAATCTGTTCATCAGATAATGGATCAGCTCTCCACATTATCTATATAGCTATTGCTACATCAAGCCATACAGTTATAAGGAAATACACATCACTAGTGGCACATTGAGTCACAGAAATGATCCCCAAACCAGCTTCTGATTTCTTCAGCATCCCTCTTTCCTTCCATTCAACATCCCATAATAAAGAATTTTTTAAAACACCCTCGGAGTTGCTCAAGTTAGGGAAAAGCCTGTCTCCCAAGCTTCTCTTGGCACATCTCAAACTTACACCAGGCAGGAAAGGGGCTGGAGGGAAGGGCTGGAGGAGGGTGGGGGGGAGTGGAATGAGAAGGACCCTCTGCTCGCGATTGCAGGAAACGCTCTAATTTTCTAGCCCACTTCTTCCCTCCAACGCCTTCTCATTCCTTTCTTCTTCTTTACGAAGTTAGGGGCCATCCCAGGCTTAGCAGATCCCTCCTCCCTCCTTCCTCCTCCCTCCTCCGAACACAAGCATTTCCCTTTTTCTTCTTATCACTTTTCTCTTCTCCCCTTCTCTCTCTCGTCTCCCCCTTTCTCTTCTCTCCACTTCTACCAATCCTCTTCTCTCCCTCCCCCTCTGCCACTCCTCTCTTTTCCTCTTCTCTTCCCAACTCTCCTCTCCCATTCTCACTCTCAGACCGTCTCCCTTCGCCTACTCTGTCTCTTACTCTTGGCTCGCTCCTCAGCTTCCCTCCAGAGAGGGCTGACTTTCCGCATTCCATCCACCACTGACCCAAGTGTCGAGGCGTGCGGCAATGGAGCCGCAGGCAGTATTCAATGCTTCAGGAAATTCCTGCGTCCCAGAACTCGAGCAGGTACAGGAGTCGCAACCCAGTGCAGGACCCTATCCTGAGTTGCATCCTGGAGGGTTCTCTGCTCCTGTGACAGCGTTGCTGGCCACGCTCATGGCGCTGCTGGTGCTGACCACAGTGCTGGGCAACGCTCTGGTCATCCTGGCTTTCGTGGTGGACAGGAGCCTGCGCACGCAGGGAAACTTCTTTTTCCTCAACCTGGCTATTGCCGACCTGCTGGTGGGTAAGTAGGGGATTGAAGCGGAGACAGCTCAGGGGTGGGCTGTCAAGCGATTAGCACTTGATCTTTGAATAAAAGGGGTTGATGGCCCTTCAGTGATTTCCAGAGTAGAGTAACCGAGTCCCTACTTACCTAGGAGTTTGAGGAACGTGAGAGAGATGATGAGGCAGCGTGGTATAGTGAAAAGAGCCCTGGATGTGGAGTCAGAAGTCCTGGGTTCGAATCCAGAGTTTACCACTTGCTTGACCTCGGGCAAGTCCCTTCCCATCCCCTGGCTTTAGTTCCTTCCTCTATGAAACGAGGGCGGGGTCACTGAGGCTACTTTCAGCCTTATGATTAAGAAGGGACAAAACTTCAGATGTGAGGTGGGACAGGACACAGGAATTCAAAACCGAGGAAGATGTAGAGGGAGTGGGTTATCTGGTTGGAAATGATGATCCCTACTCCAGACTGAACCCAGAGAACAGCTACTTCATTATTGTTGTTATTATTCAAATAAAGTGCTTTGATACCCCCGGAGGAGAAAGCCTTGAGAACTGAATGGCCGTGCTCCTACTACCCATCCCTCCTCTCTTCTCTTGGTCTTCTCTGAGACCCCAAAAAGTTGTACTCAAGTAGAAGAGAGTATGAGGGCTCCACCCTTCAGTCCTAGCGCTGAAAGCTCTCCACTTGCAGGCGTATTCTGCATCCCACTATACATCCCTTATGTCCTGACCGGAGAGTGGAAGTTTGGGAAGGGGCTGTGCAAGTTGTGGCTGGTGGTGGATTACCTGGTGTGTACTGCCTCTGTCTTCAACATCGTCCTCATCAGTTTCGACAGGTTCAACTCTGTCACCAGAGCGGTAAGAGCTAAGTTTCCCTCTAAAGGTATCCTGGGGGCTTTGGGTTGATTTCCCATTTGAGGACACATATGAAACAAACTGCTTGTGTTTGGGGACAGCTTTCACATCTGAAATAGGATATCTATCAGCAACCTTTTTAAACGGCTAGGTGGCTCAGTGAATAGAGTGCCCAGTCAGGAAAACTCATCTTCCCAAGTTCAAATCTGACCTCAGACACTAGCTCACTTAACCCTGCTTGCCTCAGTTTCCTTATCTGTAAAATGAGCTGGAGAAGGAAATGGTAAAGCACTTCCAGTATCCGTGCCAAGAAAATCTCACATCACATGGGGTCACGAAGAGCCAGACATAACTGAAAAACGACTGAACATTTTACACTTGCACAGACACAAAGAGGTTAAACAAGTGGCAAAATCAGAGGAGACCAGGACACTTGACTTACAGCTCCAGGCTCTTTTGCCTAGACCTCTGCTGCCTCCAAGAGGCCAAGACAGAGGAAAGGTCTTGGAGGGGAGAGGGAATAGGGGGAAGGGGCTTTTTCTTGGCATTTAATACCTCCAACAAGCCCCTTCAGTCTCTGTGTCCTCTGGGGCTCAAAGTACTATAGTATAGTGTTTACAGAAATTTACAATCATAAAACTTGGGTTGGCATTCCAGTTCTGATTACCCTGGGCAAGTCACAAACTCAAAAACATCCAGATACAATAGGACTTACGTGAAGAGACTATGCTTAAAGTGCTATAGGAATGAGTTATTAGTAGATTAATTTAACTTCTTCACAGAGAACTTCCCCTGTGGCTCCATCCTGTTGCCTCTGTTTTCCTAAATTCTTAACGTATTTGACCACAAACAGCTTCCTAAACTGTAAACTGTTGCCTAGAGAGGTATTTTGTAAATTACTAGAACTCAGAAAAAGCATACATCATGGGTACAATCTGCTGAGAACGTTCTCTGATAATTAGTTTCATTCTTACTGATTTAGTGGTTTTATTCTAGCTATAGGTACAATGAAATCTCTTAGCTAATTGCTTAATACTATCTGTTCAATGAGCTGAACCTGATGTGCAGAACTGAATGTTCTGTTCGGGTGAAACACAAACTTCAAAGAGGGCTGGATTACCCTAGAACCAAGTGGGAGAAAAAATATCAATTTCCCAAATCATTAAGAGATTCCTTCATTCCTTCACCGTTAACTTTCACACGTTCAAACTTTTCTTCCTGACTGCAAGATGAAGTAGCAGAACTCTCTTAAGAATTTTTTGCATTTACAGAGGGAGGAACTTCATTGCTGTTATATTAGCAGACAGCACAAAATTATAATATGGATACTAAATTAAAATATATTTAAATTACAGATAGAGGTAAATAAAAACATAGGGCAGTGCTTTGCTGCTTGTGGGGATGTGTATGTTTAAGTAAGGGATGGATTTTGAATCCTTTCCCCAGTAATGGAAATGAGCCACATTGAGCCATCCACATTGAAGAATCAACTCTAAAACATATTAGACAAGTATTTATCCAATAAATCAATCAACAAGCATATATTAAGTACCTACTAAGTGCTAGGTACTTTGCTAGGGCTGGGGATACAAGAGTAAAGAATGAAACAATCCCTGCTTTCTAGGAGCTTACATTCTAACGGGGAAGGGGGCGGGAGGTGGAGAAATAAGTGTGTATATATATATATATATATATATATATATATAATATATGAAATATATGTAACATAAAGTAATAAATAAAACATATAGGGGCAGCTAGGTGGCACAGTGGATAGAGTGCTGGGCCTGGAATCAGGAGGGCCGAGTTCAAATTCGGATTCAGACCAGACACTGACACTAACTGTGTGACTTCTGGGCAAGTCACTTAACCGCACTGCCTAGCCCCCCCCCCAAAAAATAAAATATATACAATATATACAAAAAATATGGAAGGCTTCATTTGGAAAGTAGTGGTTGAAGGAAGAGGGTTTCTATGAAGTGGGCAGAAGGAGAGAGTTCGCTTGAAGATCTCTAGGGCAAGAGAATCCACTATCTCCTGAGGTAGTCCATTTTATGCAACTTTTATTGTTGCATTTCTTCTTTTATTGTTGTTCAGTTGCTTTCCAGTAGCGTCTGACTCTTCAGGATCCCCATTTGGGGTTTTCTTGGCAAAGGTAACAGTATGGTTTGTCATTTCCTTCTCCAGCTCATTTTACAGATAAGGAAACTGAGGTAAATAGGGCAGAGTGACTTGCCCAGGGTCACCTAACTAGTAAGTGTCTGAAGTGAGACTTGAACTCAGGCAGATGAGTCTCTCTGACTCCAAGCTTGACACTCAATCCACTGCACCACCTAGCTGCTCTGAAGTTCTTCCTTACAAGGAGCCTGAAGGTGCCTTTGGCGACTTCAACCTATTGCTTCTAGTTTTGCCCGTTGGGACCAAGTCTTCATCCTCTTCTACGTGATAACCCTCTGTATACTTTAAGAGGGCTAGTATGTGCCTCCATAAATCATCTCTCCTTCAGGCTAAATGTCCACAGTTTCTTCACCCAGTCCTCTATGGCAGAAGTGTCAAACATGGCCTGGGACACTCCTGAGTACTTCTGAAGCAGATTAAAATATGATTGAGAGGTACTGGACAAAATAAATAAAAACATAATAGAACATAGACAATGTTATTACACGGTTTTCTAAGGAGAAAAATGTGGCCTGCAGGGAGCCTTACATATGGTATAGTGGCCTGTTTCTATTTGAGTTTGACACTGCAGCTCTATGGCATGATCTTGAAGCCCTTCATAGTACCATTTACTGTCATTAGGATACTCTTCAGTTTATGAATGTACTTTCTAAATTGTGACATCCGGAATTGAACACAGTTCTCCAAATGTGGTCCGACCTTGGCAGAGTACAGTATGCCCTCCCTAGTCAGACTCTAAGCCTCCCTTAATCTGGCCTAAGATTGAAGAGCTCCTTTTTGGGGCTGCCACAGCTCAGAGTTCACTCATTTGGCCAGCAGTCTACTAAAACTTCCACATCTTTTTCAGACCAACTATTGTCTAGGTGTGGTCCACCCATCTTGTACTTATAGAACTTTTTTGCTTTACTAAATTTTTACTTTTTTTTTTTTAACCCAAGTGTAGGACATTATATTTATGCCTATTACGTTTCACCTTATTAAACAAAGCCAATGTTCCAGCCTGTTAAGACTTTTTAGATACAGACTGTCTTAAGGGTTAGCTATTCTTCCTAGTTCTGCGTCATCTACAGAAAGCAGTGCCTTGCACATAGCTGGTGCTTAATAAATGTTTGGGTTGGATTATATCTATACCTTCGTCCAAGTCATCGATCAAAATGTCAAACTGCCCAGAACCTAATTGACCTCCCTCCCTAAGTCTCTCCCGACTCCAGTCCATCCTCCATACTTACGCCATAGTGATTTTCCTTAGGCATAAATCTGACCATGTCATTCTCCTATACAAAATCCACTGATTCCCTATTGCTTGCAAGACAAAAATTTAAACTCTTTTCTTTAGCTATTAAAGCCCTGAACAACCTGCCCCAATCTATCTTTTCAGATTCATTATATATCATTCAAGTACATACACATATATATACCATATACATATACATACCATATGATATATATATAATATCATATATATATACATTACTACTCTTCCTACACTCTTACTTTCCAGCCAAGTTGGCTCTCAAGTGGCACTCCATCTTCCGTCTCCATTCTTTAGCACCTACTGTCCCCCAAGTTTGGAACATACTCCCTCATCATCTGTTTTGTAGAAACTTTCTCTTCTTTGAAGACACACATCAAGCAATACTTTCTTCATGACTCTTTTCTGATCTCTCCAATTACTTGTGCCTTCCTTCCCTAACTATCCTGTATTTATATTTACTCTTTACATTTATTTTAGCTATACTTAAATGTGTCTCCTCCATTAGAATGTAAGCTCCTTGAGGTTAGAATTGTTCTGTTTGTGTCTGTATCCCTAGCGCCCTAAAACAGTGGCACAAATTAGGCACTTAATAAATGCCTATTGATGCCTATATCACACACCTCTAGCATGCCCACAAAAAGAGTATAATTTTGTCAAATGATTTGCTAAAATGTATATAAACTATTTCATTCAGCCTCCTGACCCATCAGTTCTATAAACCCTATCCAAAAGAAGTAAATAAAGTTAGTCTGACATGATCTATTCTTCAAGAAACTATGTTGGCTCTGTGTTCCCTATTTCCTTTTCTGTACATTCATTAACTTTTCCTTTAATATTCTAAAACTTTGTCAATGATTGAAGCCAAGCTCATTGCTCTGCAGTTTGCAGGTCGTTGGCCTCTGGGACAGCTAGGTGGTGTGGTGAATGAGTCAGAATGACTCATCTCTGTAAGTTAAAATCTGGCCTCTGACACTAACTGTAAGTCACTTAACCCTATTTGCCTCAGTTTCTTCCTCTTCAAAATGAGCTGAAGAAGGAAATGGCAAACTATTCCACTACCTTTGCCAAGAAAAACCACAAATAGGATCACAAAGTTGGACATGACTGAACAACACCACCGCCTTGTTTTGGAAAATCAGGGCATTTGCTTTTTTCCATTTCCATAACATACTTCTGCTCTTCATAGTCTTCAAATATCAATGACAGTGGCCTAGCAATCATATCTATCCATTTTTTTTGGTTTGTTTTCAGGTCCCTAGAATGTAATTCAGCTGGGCTTGGTGACTTGAACTCAAAGACTGCTAGATGCTATCCATCTCTTTACTTACTTGAGTTTAAACTCCCTATTAGCTATTTTTGTTCTAATTCAAAGATTATAGAAAACACAAGCAAATTAGAGGAATGGTTCTTCCTTCTTTTCATTATCATTATTTCATCCACCCTGAATAGTAGTGCTATCCTTTCTTTCAATTAACAAGCACTTCTAAAGCAACTATTATGTGCCAAGCACCATGCTAGATGTTTAACCTTATTCTCCTCCCAAATTAACAAAGACAAATAAAGACCATTTTGTTGTGCTTAGCAATCTCTACTAGCTTCAGTTCATTCAGGGCTTTAGCACTACTAACACTATTCTTACAGGATCACGCCACATACATTTGTATTTGTTACTTGCCTCTGCATCCATCTTCTTTCTATGCATTTAAGGAAAATATCTTTTTTATATCATCTTTATTTCCAAATACATCCCCTTCCCATCACCAGTGAGCTACACCTGATAAAAAATTAAAGAGGGGAAAGTAGTAGCAAAACTAACGCATCAACCAATAACGTGCCATATTCCATATCCATATTCCTCTACCTCTGCAAAATGAAGTACATTTTCTCAGTTTTTTTCTATGTCCAAGTTTCTTGGTTATAATTACACGATAATAATTCTATCTACATTGTTCTATTCACTTGTACATGCCTTTAATAAAAATCTTCACTGTAGTTGTTAAGTTCCATATATATCCATAATAATGACAATTCTTCCCCTTTTCCTCTCCAATAGAACTGTTTTTCTGGGTCTTCAGAATTTCATTCTTGAGAGCTTTCCATCCCTCCTGAGCTTGCTGCCCCTATCAAATTTTCAAGCAAGGGGTCTTAACTATCGATTCTCAAAAGGTTCTGGAATTGGCTTTCTAGAACTGGCCCTAGAGTTAACATCAAACTGTTCTTGGCTTTCCAGTTTTTCTCACACATATTCTGAAATGGAATGTACTTTCTACCAAGGTCTCTATCATTTCTACCTCCTTGTTAGATAGAAATAAGTCTAGAATAGCAACTACTCCTACTGCTTCTTCTACTTCTTGAAGGTCATCATTAAGGCAAGCCAAGAAATTATTTGCAGCTCTACTTTTGGAGAAAAGTGCTCCAGTAGATATTAGGATAATTGAAGTCTCCCATCATTACTCTATCTCAGTCCTGTAATCTTATTTTCTAAAGTAATTTCTTTCTTCTTTCTGTCCAGATGATCACCCACATGCTGCTTTTGTTCCCTCTCCTGAAATGGCCTTTCCTACAATCAATCAATAAACATTTATTAAGTACCTACTATGTGCCAGCCACTGTGCTAAGCCCGAGGGATACAAAAAGAGGCAAAAGACAGTCCCTGCCACCAAGGAGCTTACAATCTAATGGGAGAGACAAGATAACCCTATATAGAATAAATAGGAAATAATTAACAGAAGGCAGGCACTGGAATTGAGGGGTTGCAGAAGGCTTTCTGTAGAAGGGGGGAGTTTAGTTGTGACTTAAAGAAAGCCAGGGAAGTCAGTAGTTGGAGTAGAAGAGGGAGAGCATTTCAGACATGGGTGGCCAGCCAGAGAACATGTTCAGAGCTGAGAGATAAGAATATCTTGTTCATGGAACAGTTAGGAGAAGTCAATATGTTGGGGAGTAAGGTGTAAGAAAACTAACAACTTCAGTGGAAAGTTAGGAGGGAGCAAGTGCCAAACAGAGCATTTTGTATTTGCTCTAGGAGGCAACAGGAATCCACCAGAATTTATTGCCTGATTTTTTTTTCCTCCAGGTTATCTGTTCAAGTCATCTCTAATGCAAGACCTAGCTCAAGTGCCACATTCTCCATAAAACCTTACCTGATTTCTTTCCCTAAGTCGTGATTTCTCTCTCCTTTCAACTCCATAGTTCACAGTATTTCTCACACTAAATGTTCATATGTATTTTATTTGTGAATTATTGCTTCTAATAAGCACCAGCAGGGGGAGACATTGTCTCACAATAACTCCTCCCCTTTCTAGTGATGTAAGATTTGGGAATGATCTCCCCCACCAACCCCGCCTTGGATTTCACTTTGCACTTTGTACTTCTCTAATGAATTCAACTACAACATTAAATGTTATAAGTATTTGTTTCTTGTCATATCCTCCTGCTATACAGTATGATTAACAAGCAGGAAGTTTTGACCTTAACTAAAATTTTGTTGTGCTCTAGTGTCAAGCACAGTGCTCTGCATACAGCAGGTGCCTAATATTAGCTGAATAAAAAATGCTTTCTTCATGACACCCCTATGAGGTTAGATAGGAAAAGCAGTAGTATCCTCATTTGATTGATGAGGCAACCAAGGTTCCGAGATATAAAGTGACTTATCCATGGTCATTTATTAAATGTTAGAACAAATGATTAATCAACCTCAGATCAATCAGTGAATCTGCTTCCTGTTTCTGAACTTTCCCCTTCTCCCCTTTTCTGTGATTTTTCTTCTCTCTAGGTGACTTACAGGGCTCAGAAAGGGATGACGAGAAATGCTATCTTTAAGATGGTCATAGTATGGCTAGCAGCTTTTCTCCTTTACGGTCCTGCCATCATCTGCTGGGAGTACATTGCCAGAAAAAGCATCCTGCCCCGAGGAGAGTGCTATGCTGAGTTCTACTACAACTGGTATTTCTTGATGATTGCTTCCGCCATTGAATTCTTCACTCCCTTCATCAGTGTCTCCTACTTCAACCTGAGCATCTACATCAGTATCAGAAAGCGCACCCTCCTGAGAACCGACAATCTGGATTCCAGTGGAGAGAATTGTGAAATGAACCTCCTGGAGAAAAGAAAAGGACATGTCATATTTTTTGTTAAGCCAGCTGAGTGGAATAGGAACAAGAAGAAAGATCATGGTCTCTTCCCTAATGGGCCCCTAGGTCCCATGCATAATAGCCCCTCCTCCCTGGACATCCAGGGTACACAAGATCTGCCTCCACTGCAAATCGAAATGAAAACCAAGCCAGGCCAAGTCTATGAAACCACAGAAAGTATGTGCAATGCCACAAGGCACCCAGACATTGCCAGGACAATGGCAAACCACCTCCGGCTATCGCGGGACAAGAGAGTGGCTAAATCTTTGGCCATCATTGTGTGTGTATTTGGGCTGTGCTGGGCACCTTATACGCTGCTCATGATCATCAGAGCTATGTGTCATGGGAAATGTGTACAGCATTTTTTCTATGAGTTCTCTTTTTGGTTACTTTGGCTAAATTCAGCCATTAATCCTGCTTTATACCCACTCTGCCACATGAGCTTTCGGAAAGCTTTCATCAAACTGCTATGTCCTGGCAAAGCCAAAATTCACCCACATATTTTTAGGTGAAGAAAAAGGCCATCTGTGGCTGGGATCACCAAAAACCTTTATTTGTCTGTAAAGTGGAGTCCATGGCATCCACTTGGTGACTACCAATCACTCTACTTTTACTCCAGTTTTTTACCATGGAGACTCTCTAAGCAACAAAAAGTGAAGGCATCAAATGAAAAATACTGCAAGTATTACTCTGAGCTTAACATTCTATCTGGGTGGAGAATGAGTTATTCAGGAGGGAAAAATCATTTTTAAATTTATTTTCTTAGAAAAGACTTTCATGAGATTTTACAATGATTGGGGTTTGAGTACATTTGACCACATTTGTACAGAAACTTTTTTTTCTTAAATAATAAGTGCACCACATGCTCTTTTTATTTGTAGTGCGATGTGAGTATTCACCAGATGCTTGTATAGTAAGTACTATATTCTATGAGGCTTGGTTCAAAGCAATGCCTATTTATAAAATAACACTTGGATAAATAAAAGTGCTACTTTTAAAAACTCAAATACAAGAAATCATATTTAACAATCATCAAGCCAAAACAAAACAAACAAAAATTTTAAAAAACATAGCTTCTTGGAAGGAAAGAAAATATGAATTCAATTTAAACCATAACCTGAAAGACTTTAGCTAGACATAATTTCTTACCATGAAACATTGTTAAATACTGGAATAAGTAAGCAGTAAAAAGACAAAATAGAATCTCCTTCTACAAATATCTTTTGCAAGAATCAGTCAAACTCTTACCTGTCTAGTATTGTTTAGGCGTATTTTTTTTCCTATAGATAATCAACAGTTCTCAATATCATTAGTTTTCTGAAGTTCACAATGGCCTCAATATCATCACAGGCAGCACCATTCTGCCCATTAGTTTTTGTTTGTTTGTTTGGCATGAGTAGTCCAAAAGGGTGCTTTGTGCCCATCCAAATGGTCCTCAAAGTTTGAGAACCATTGTCCTAGTAATTTCTTAAGGTCCTTTTCATTTATGTCACCAAATTATTCTCATTCCAATTCTATACATTTTAAATCTACTGATAGTGCAAACCAAGTGAATTTTTAAAAGCACAGAATAATTCATGTTTATATAGTTCTTTAAAGTTTACAAAGCACTTTTTCCTTGCTACTTCTAGTACAAATAATATCCTCATAAAAAGTTAGTGATTTCCCTAAGGTTACACATAAAGAGTCAGAGTCTGAATGTGAACCCTAGTCTCTTGATGCCAAGTCTAATACTCTTTCTGATATACCTGACAAATAAGGCCACAATCCAAAAGTATTACAGAATTCACAATTCTGAATTATTTTGGTGAATACTTATATCAAGTATAGAAGAACATAGGATCATAGTCATAGATTAACATAAAGTCCCCAAACATTTAAGACATTCCTCAAGTATCTGCTAAAATGCTACCTATTGAGGAAGATGAGTTAATAATTATTATTCCTAGTGCACGAATTTAAGAGCTTACTATATTTTACTCTCATGAGCAACCACATTGCAAGTAAAAAAAATTTAGATAGGATGGCTTTTCCACAGGGAGCAGTCAGGAAGAATTTCACTGTGTATGAAGAAGGCAACTTCTGAATATCATTACCTGGCCTTACATGAAAGACAACTCAGTTCAGAAATCTTCAACTCAACAACATTCCCTGAACTTGGCCACTTAGCAACTCAGAACAAGGAGTGGGTAGGTGGGTTTTAGCTAGAAGCCAAAAGACCCCTATTTATAAGACTGAAGAATTCTTACAACAAAAGACTTTCCACATGTAAATCCTTACCTTGAAGCCTCTGATGAGATTACTTTCATTCTTCACCATCTTTCAGGTTTAGGCTCATAGATTTAGAGCTAGAAGGGACTTTACAGATAATCAAGGTCCAAACCCCCCCATCTTATAGAAGAGGGAAGTGAGGACCAGAGACATCAAGAAAGTTGCCAGTTACACAGAGCTAGTTAAGTGACAAAGCTGGGGCAACTAGAGGTTTTTCTGGGAAATGACCTTTATTGGTAAAACAAAGAGATAGAAATGGCTCCTTTATACATCTAGAAACTTTTTTTTTTTAAAGCTGTCAGAGAACTTTGCATGGACTAACTGTAGTCACAGCTCCAGCATCCTAGACTGAGAAATGGCCATACGGTTACACCATTTTCCAGAGGATTACCTTTGAGTATGTCTGATCTCCAATTCAGAATTTCAGGCCATTTGTGAATGTCAACAGTGAATCTCCACTGCCTCATCTAACTCACAAATGCAGATGAATATTGTTAGTAAAGAACTGTACTCCTAAGTAAAAATAAGCAAGAGGATTTACTTAGGGTGCTATGATTAAATAATGACTCATTTGAATTATCCATAAATATTCAAGTTTTGGAGGAGGAAGAAGATTTGGTCAAATCAAGTCTTTCATCTCATCTTTTTACCTCTACCAAGAATATGAAATACGAACCATGCTGTGCTCCTATCATTTCTGTTTCAGTTATGGGTTGGATTGCATGACCTCTGAGATGCCTTACAATTTTTTCTACGACCCAGCCCCAACTCACTCTCCCAATCACCAAGCCATTCACCACCTTACCAATCAATCTTCCTATTCTTCTAAATATACTTCCATGAATACAAAAATAGGCATGTTATATGTAATACATAACTCATTAGGTGGGTTTGAGGAAAATGGAAATGAGGGCAACTAGTGAAGTTTTTAAATGGTGCGAATCATGAGATGACATCTGATTGTTCTTTCAAGATTGAACAGTTTAAAAATGCATCAGTCTCTGAGTTTCAGTTCATGCCTGACTATATCTATTTACAAAGTAATGTAAGGCTGGGATTGGATTACAATGGTTTGCCAACACTGGCTATGTAAGAACTAGATAAGTTGCATAGGTCCCATTAAGCCACTTTCTCAACTATATCAGAGATGCTAATAGTTTTTCTTCAAATAAAAAAATACAAAAGGAAAAAAAGGACAAATGCTTTAAACTGTTAAAGCAATTTTATTGTTTCACTGGTGCAAAATCATGATATTTGTGTAATGCATTTTCCCCTAAATTTACAATAATGGTTATACATAAACTATATAGATCACAATTTCTCTATTTTTATACGATTTGAACAAAATTTCCTTGATAAATATGCCCAGTGACGAATATAGGCCCCTAGTGGATGTCCAAAAATGCAAAATATAAACTTCTGGTTTTAACTATGGAGCTTTTAAACTCTCAAACATGCATTAACTACTCTAGTTTTAGGGGAAATATTACACACAGCCTTATCTTGCATTTAAAGAAAAGCTCAAGCTGAATTCAACATACAATATCCCTCCCACCCCCAAATCAAATCTCTTGTAAAAATCAAGATGGACTATAGAATACAAAGACAGACAGCGCTAGCCACTTCCTGGTTAGTACTTCCTAGGACTGAATAAAATTACAGAAGCAACAACAGTGAAGAAAAATAGAAAGAAAAGATTAGTAGCTGGAAGAAGAGACTTGAAGATCAGAGGAATTTAAAAAAAAAAAATTCAATCATGCTGCTTCTGGTGATCAGACAGACATGTGATGTCCCAACTTGAATACCTGTGAAGCGAATTAATTTGTTAAGGTCCTGAAGGTGAGTGTCTGCAGGTGCTGAATAAAATATATCACAGATAAGAGAAAGATAACCTAACTTGGCATTTCTGAAAGGCACAATCTATGGGGGTGGGGGTGGGGGAATAATCTAGCATAATAAAAAAACATACTGTATGTGAATGGAAAGAAGTACAGTGTTTCTGTGTTTCTTCTCTTTAAAGTACAAGACCTTCATAAATTGGCCCCTCAGACTCTGGTGATTCCCTCCTCAAGCGCAAATGCTCCAAGGTGTTGTGAAAATGTTTGTTAATCTGTTCTGTTTCTTCACTGGACTCAAGATTTGGAAGGTCTTCTCTTATCTTTTGGATAAGTTGATTCAAAACTTGAATTGTCACCTACAATGAAATATATATATATATATATATGTTGGTTTCTATAACCAATTGAAGAAAAAAAGACAGAACTGAATAATACTAATTTAGGAGTACATATTACTCTTATTACATGGTAACAGTGAAAATTAGGAACCAATTTAAATTAAGAAAATATAAACCAACGATTAAAAGGAAAGCATTACTAAAAACATAGTTCCTACTGAACCAGAAGTCAATTACGCTCATCTAGAAATCCTACAACAATACTCTCACCAATATGTTACAGATTAATCTTAGGTTCACATTTACAATTCAAAATTAAGTTTAGTTAATGCAGGTTCCAATTTGGCTACAGATCCTAAGGCAAAAATGGCAATAACAAAATAGTACCAACAAGAAAGTAAGTTTGATCTTATTAGATAATGAACTGAGAAATGTTCCCAATAATTTACACATGATGATGATGATGATGACGACGACGACAACAATGACAGGGAATATTTAGCACTGACAAGTGATTTTAAGGGTATTGAACTTTCCGTGGTAGTTATTTTATGTAACACCCCTAGGCAGTAAACACACCAGAATTTTCTCATGCACCATCTATTCTTCCATCAAAGAAAGAAATCTTCCAAGATCATTTAGCAAGCTACTGGCAAAGGTCCAACAAATTCCGTATTAATTCCCAGGATTCTTCATTTCCCCAAATACGCAAAAATTAATGCACATACAAATGCACAAAATAGTAACTTCAAAGTAGAAGACCATTAATTAGCAACTTTAATCCTTATATGTAAAGAAGAAAGTGCTCACATAATGAAAACTATTTCTAAATATCAATCAATTAAATGTGCCAAGAAAAAAGGCTTTTTACTAGCACACATATTGTTTCTTAGCTGGAAAAAGTCACATACAATAAACACATCAATTTCTCAGTAAAGGAAGTCTGAGAGAATGAGACATTAGGTATAGAGCCATAGATGATGAATGTTCTTGTTCAGTGATTTTTTTTTAGTATAATTAGGTCTAAATTACAATAGTTTAAGCAGTAAGGCACTTTAATTTAACATACACAAAAAGCAATACTTTGCTTAAATACCAGAATTTTTCACAAAAAGACACTTCTAAGACAGTCTAATGGAATAAAAACATACAATACAATGAAAATAACACAGACACAAAAATAATAATGATCAATACAAGACTGAAAATAAATCAGACAGATAAATTTAATTTCAGAAAAAGTAGTAATATAAATAGAATTCAAGGTCATTTATCCAGAGACTCAGGTACAGATGCCTGTACCAAGTACGGTCACCTAAGAGAGGAGAAACTGGGCAAGCAAAGTTCTCAACATGAGTATCAGTCACATATTCCTCTTCAAAACTCCATTCCCAAAAGCACATGGCTGAATGAACCAAGGATTGGGGGGAGAGGAAAGGGGATGATTTTTCCACACTCTCATGCTATCTCTACAAGTAAGGCTTAAAGAAAAACTATTAGTTTCTGACTATGTAATAGATAAACAATATATATGCAAACATACATCTATATAAGATAATTTCCATTTACAGTCAGTTCAATTTTCTGAAGAGTTTTGTGAATATGAATCAAAGATTAATTCATAGACATTCTGGTAATAGCACTGTGTAGAAAAATTTCTCACATGACAGTAACTTATTCCAGGTTTAAAAAGCAATTGTTCTAAATCATCTTAATTCTTTTTGTATTCCTTTCTCCTGTACTTGATCTTCAAATCTGAAGAAAAAGACATCCCTAAAGTTCTAGAATCAAAGCAAAAACCTGCTCTTATTCCAATAAGATTGGCATCATTAATGTTATTCACTTACCGCATCATTTTCCTTTTCATAAAAATAGATGTATCTGTTCAGAATTTCTATAAAAAGCTGAACTTGCAACGAGGGATCCATGCACTGATTTGCTATCTTCAGAGCCTTCTTCAAGCATTCCATTACTCTCTTGCCCCCATGAAGCTGAAAAGAAATAGGGTAAGAGGGGAGGAGAAAAGAGAGGTTGGTTATGAAATAACTATTACTTTTCATTTAAGGACATTTTTGAAATGGTTGAAATTCTCTCAATGTTTCAAAAAAAAGTCCAAGTGGCTCTTTTAGAGAACTCCACACTACGGGGGGAAAAAGCTTATACTTTTTTTTTTTTTTAAAAGTCTGATCTACAAGTTTGGCCGCAAAGGGAGGACAAAAAGCACCTCCCTCCTCTCTTAGAAGGTGTGAAACATCATTAAGTTTGGTTGAGGCTTCTGTTACTTTTGCTAAACTGTCCTCCCCCCCCTCCACTTTTTTTTTATTGTTTTTACAAAGGGATGGCTCATTGGGTTGGTACTTTCAGAAATGAAAGTTGTGTAAAAAAAAAAAAAAGATACCAAAATTAGGAATGTACTTTATAACTATTTCTGAAGAAATACTGTAAAAGTAAAGTATCAGGCAGATCACAGTCTTGCTGTATTAAAAAATTCTTGAAGCTAAGGTTTCACCAGAGGATGGGAGTGTAAGCAATGTCACTGAAGCTCACTCAATACATCTGTTCCAACCCCATGGATTTCTAATACAAAACACATCAATGTCCTCCGCCAGCTCTACAAGCTTTCAGGAGGTTTTCACCTGAAATTCATGTGTTGAAGCACCTGCTTCAGAAGACCCTAAAGGATGTGGCCAAAACCAAACTTCCTTCCCCATGCTCCCTATTCTGCCAACCCCCGTGACTCACCTCTTCTCCATTCCTGTCTGTGTTTCTGCCAGACCAGAAGAGATGGGCACATGTGCTCACAGCCCGGCCCTGGTCCGGCTTCTTGAGCAGTTTGGAAGCTGCCAAGGCGCACTGAGTCCTTAAGGGTTCATGGTTCTCCTCACTGAAGCACTTCATCCTCTCAAATGTCCCAATGATCAAGGTGATGGCAGCCAGCTGGGCTTTAGAATCACTGATTTCATCTTCATACAGAGAAAATGCCTTGTGGAGACAATACACACTCTGTGTTGTTAACCTTTTTTATAAGCATCATTTATTTCCAGTAGCTTTTCTATGAACTTTTACAAGTTTCTGGGATCTCTTACCAATTAATAGAGGAAGTTATATCTCTTTTTGTTTTGCTTTTTTTTTCTAAGACACAGCACAGAATAGAACAGAAAAACATTTAGGGGCTTACTATGTGCTATGTACTATGAGGATACAAATAGAGAAAAGCAAAAGAATCTCTGCTCTTGAGGAGCTCACCTTTAATTAAGGGAGACACCACACAAAGGAGGGCCCTGCTGCAGGTCAGATGGAAGACCTGGTGGTCCTTGGGGGACACTGGAAGGGCAGATGACAAAGCCCAGGAGTCCTTAGGGTGCAACAACAGGTTTCTCTCTACCCAAAATGGCACAAGTGATCAACTATTACTAGGATACACAGTTTTCCAAGTACTGGTGATAAATTTGTACCCAATCAGTCACATTCTATTCCTTTTGTAATACATCTTCAAAAAAGATAGTCAGGGTTAAGAGTACAGTCTGTGATTTAGGACAGAAGAAAACCATGACCTCGGATAAGGATTCAATTTGTGGTCAAGGAACACAAGGCTAACTGCCTAATGCAGGGATGGAACCATGACCTCAGCCTCATGTTCTATAGGACTAAGCCCAGCTCTAATAATGTGACTTTTGTATAAAGATTCTCCTTAAACTCAGCCCCATTAAGGTGAGAGAGGATTGGTTCTATTAAGTAGCAAAGTTACACGTGTTCATATTATAACTACTGATAAGCAAAACTGAATCATGGAATGCTAAATAATGCTTACAAAATAACCTAGAGTAAAATTCATGTTACCTGGGACATAAATTCATATGCCACTGTCTCGTGGTTTTCAAAACCAATTTCTCCAGCAGCTAGAGCTCCCTGAAGGAAAAGCCGTAGAGGCAGCTCTGCCAATTCTGCTTTGATTAAAGCACTGATAGTCTGATGTGCAAATGAAAAAATCTTCTGGCACTTCTTCTCCCACTTATCATCCTAAAAAAACAAAACAAACAAAACCCATACTCTGAACATACAGAATGGTCATAAATTCACTTCATCATCTTGACTAATTTTATACCTAAAGGACATTATAAAGTATAAAATGCTATACAAAAATAAACCAAAACATCCCACAACATTGTAATCTTGAGTAAGCTAAAAATTGATTATCTATTGGTATATTTTTCAACTGGGGAATGACTAAACAATTGTGATATGTGAAAATAATGTCAATGTTATTGCCCTAGAAGAATCAATAGTTATGAAGAATTCAAAGATGCAAGGAACGCTTATATGAACTGGTATGGAGTGAAGTAAACAGAAAAAGAAAAAAAAAGCCATATAAATGGAAAAAGAATGCCATGTAATTATAAAAAACAAAAGCTGAGCCCCAGAGAAGATGAACATGCATCTGCCTTCTATCTTTTTGGATGGTGGAGAATATGCGAATGGAATACTATCAGAACCAGTTGTGTTGGCTGGTTTTGCTGACCTGCTTTTTCCCCCCTTTTTAAAAAAATCTTGGTTACGAGGGATGGCTTGCTAGGTAAGGAAGGAGGGAGGAACATACTTGGAAACGGTGATGTAAAAACAAAAGATACCAATAAAAATAAAATTCTTAAAGTAGGGGGCTTGGTTTTTTGTTTGTTTGTTTGTTTTTTATTTTAAATACTCTTACCCAGGCTGGAAGTGCAGAGACACTTCAAAGCCCAGTCCTACACTGACTGGCAAGGGAGCTTTAACCTACTCTGTTTCTATCCTAGGCCAGTTGACCTCTCCTTAGGCAACCAAACACTAAATCAAAAACCCAGTCAATAAGTCTTAACTTAAGATATGACCACAATTTTAAAACTGAACAAATCCTTTTTCCTCTGTTACAAACATAAATTTCTTTTTGTTTCTTAAATATAAGCTTGATTATCCAATTCCAGGCCATAAAATGACCAAGTATATTTACTCCAAAGGAACGCCACCAGAGATTCTAATTCATTATTTTATTCTGAGTAATGTGCTCAGAGAACTCACCAAGGTAAAAACTAGCAACTTTGGCTCCTGGGACAAAGAAGAAAATCAACTTTATCATTCATGATATGAAAATAACACAAGAAGATAAATTCAGTTGAGTGGGAGAGGGGAGCCTAGGACACTCTTTTACAGCACAACAAAGACCCCAGGACATTGTATCACTGTTGCTAAGTAGGCAGCCCCCCAGAGGGCAACAGGGAAGGGGCTAATTGGGAAATTCACTTAGTGAGCATTTATTTACCAAAGAGATGGACAGGGAGGAAACAGTTTCCCAGTGTAATTAACTATTATTGATAACTAGATGCTAAGTTCATTGTCTCCATATTACTAAACGTACTACCTAACATGTTCAAAATGCACAAGATCCTAAAATTACGCAACTTTTAAAAACATCATTAAAAATTTTTGTACCTTCTCAATCTTGATGCCCTGGTCAAAAACAAAGTCACTTTGCTTTAGTTATAGCTTTAGAATCCATATTACAATGAGAATTCAATTATTTGCATTTAGAATAAAAGTTATTATCCTGTGCTAAAGGATAATAGTTTCATATTGCAAGTAATTCAATATGTCATAGTACCTGCAACATGCAAACAACTTCTGCAAAAAATTTCTGCATCACTTTGGAATATTCAATTAAAAAGAGGAGACTGAATCCCCATTAAACGATCACCTCATTGTATCATAGCATACATAAAGTTACCAATTTCTTTTAAGTGATGTTTAACCAAAATAAAAAACTCTCATAAGGTAACCAGAAATCATGCTGCTTTTAAAGTTTTAACATATGTTAACTTGATCTTGCTGATAATAATCAACCAACTGCCCTAATTTCAAAAACCATAGAAAGTGAGGAAAGAAGAAACAAAATTACACACTTATGAGTAAACTTACCACTCTGGAATTTTCTTTGTAGCGAAAAGCCAGTTGATATGCTGCAAATACCAAGGGAGGGAGTGTAAATCGAATGCGTTGGTTCCCACCAGCTCCAAAATGTTTCCGTGCTGTGTTTAAAATCTGCAACCAAAAAAAAGAAAGGATTAAAACACAGTAATGTAACCATCTTTCTAAGATTCTAAGAGTTATATTTCTAAGAGAAAACCTAATCTTTTGTACAATTAGGCACACATTACAAGATATCTAATTTCACTACACAGACAGATATAGAATCTTTTCACTTATTCAGTTCACACTAGAGGTACAAAACAAAAACCATTTCATACCCCTGAAAAATGGGTAGATGTGAGAAGTCATAATTGCACAGCAAACTATGAACTTTGAGGTTCATCTATGGCTATAAGAAACAATATACTATTTCTAATTCCTGGGCCTCTTAGAAAGTCTTCTTTAAAAGTACATTTTAATCACATAATTGAAAGGATCACCATTAGTGATCAAGTTCTAAAAGGTAGGCTCTCATACATTAATTGGTACTGCCAAGGGCAGTTAAAGTTATTAATAATAAGTCTTCACAAACACTACTGGGAACTAACAAGCCTTTTGCAATCATACTCATCTATCCAACACTGATTATCATCAGGAATTGTCATTTTAAAATATGAAGTACAACTACACAGGAGTGTTAATTCACATGGAGTAGCTATAGTAGCTGTACTTCATATTTAGGTGGCATATCTATCTTGGGCTATTTTTATCCTCTAAATTAAAAAAAAATCACCATCGATTTAAAACCAAGCCAAAGCACTATTCTTTGAAAAAAGATCTAGTAGTAATATAAAGGTAAAATTGCCTACACTTAAAAGCGCAATAAGGAAACTAACAGAATCCATCAGAAGTCTACAAAATGCTTTAAGGCAGAAAGTTGAAGGGAAAAAAATAAACAACAACACTAGTATCCAAATGGAAAGAAAGGTAGAAGCTGCTTATTCTCTTATTCAAATTAAGAATTAACAATGCAAATGAGGTGAATGCTCCTAAAATGTTTTTCTGTTTTTCAAAACATTCAAAGAAAGGCAGAATTGAGGATTCATTTTCTCATTTTATAGGTGAAAAAACAAAAGCTTAAAGTAATTAAGTGAGTTCTATAACAAATCATTAAGTGGCAGAGATCATTTGACTTGAAGGCCAATCATCTTTTCCCTTACTATACCATGTGGTCTCTGCAAATGAATGCTAACTGCAAATAATAATAGCTGACATTCAGACAGATCTTTAATGTCTATATTAAAGGGTTTTTTTTACATTAACTCTTTATATATATTCTCACTTGAGTCTCACAAAACAGGTTCTACAGATACCGTCTCCATTTTGCAGATGAGAAAAGGGGCATTTTGGAAGGTTAAGTGATTTGTTCAGGGCCGCACTGGTATCAGAGGCAGTATGCGAACTGAGGACTTCCTGTCTGCAATAGAGCAGTCTTTCTACTATGCAATGTTGCCTCTCAGTTACTGCACAAGAGAATACATACAGTAAATCCTTATATAATAGATACACATGTATACTTTTCATTAGTTAACTAGGAGGCACAGAGAATAGAGTGCTAGGCCTGGAGTCGGGAAAACTCATCTTCTGAGTTCAAATTTGGCCTCACTTACCAGCTGTATGACCCTGGGCTAGTCACTTCACCTTGTTTAACTTAGTTCCTCATCTGTAAAAATGAGCTGGAAGAGGAAATGGCAAACCATTCCAGCATTTTTGCCAAGAAAATCCCAAATGGGGTCATGAAGAGTTGGGCACAACTGAAACAACTCAACAACAAAGACAAAACTTTTCACTTGAGGCCAGTGTTAAATTATCTGATTAACTGGTCAATCAACAACATTTATAGTTCATGTAAGGAACACTATACCTAGTGCTAGTATTTTTCTGTTCCCCTCAGCTCAAACATCAGCATTAAATAAGAATTCAGTTTTCTATTTACTTAGGAGGTCCTTACAGATCATTGAGATGGAAGGGACTTATTAAAAAGATCATCTAGTCCAAGGGTTTTTCAGCTGACATCTATGAACACTCAAGGGATCCATGAATAGATTTCAGTGGATCCATGAAGTAGATGGGAAGGAAAAATCTACATCTTTATTTCAATATAACTAGTTATCTTTTTAATAATAGGTATTTTATTTTACATATTTAAAAATGTTATTCTGAGAAACAGGCCCTAGGCTTCACCAGACTGCCAAAGGGGTCCAAAGACATTCCTAATCTAGACTTACTTCTCATTTTTTAGCTGGAAAAAAAAACCAAAACAAACTATGTCCAGGGAGGTGACTTGTCCAAGGTCACAAAGTAATAGAGCAAAGCCAGAAACTGAATTCATATCTTCTGGCTCCAAAATTAAATCAAATTATGTAGGATCTACAAATACTTCATGTCTAATATTAAACATTAATTGTAACCTAAATTAAAAATCAAGGATCATGCTCTATAAAGCTGTACTTTATTTAAAAAAAAAAGTCTAATGTCTAATCTCACATAGCCAAACTAATTATAATGAATCCATAAAGCAGTTAGATGTACTCTTTGGCCAAAACTAAAAAAAATTAAGTACCACCCTATATTACCCTTTTCTAAAAGAGCACACCAATTTCAAACACCAGCATTTCTGCTTTTTTTTTTAAATGAACAAAGTACTTTATTCTAATGCATCTTATTCTGTGTATGGAGTGGTGGTGGGGGTGATGCAGTTGGTATTTTAAGCCCTTTCTCTCTTATTTTTATTATAGCAAACATAACACATAATCAATTGTCTTAGAAATGGATATAAATACGACTAAACACAAAGTTAGCATTCTTTATTTTCCAAGTGCAAATATAAATGAAATGAACGTGTTGCCTCTAATGAAAAAGTCCACACAAATTTGGACAGGAAAGTCAAGTACGTGTACTTGAACATTTTTCCAAAAACACAACCAAACTATAAGGCTACAGCTCAAAACGAAAATAAACAAGGAATAACTGAAAGACAGCAGATAATGGATTGTTCTGAAAGAACTAATATATTTTCAAAAACTAAGTGCACTTATTTCTCACTGGTAGTAGGATGAAGCTTCAAACATTTCCAACTCAGTTTGAGAAACAGAAGTTGATACATGGATGGAACGACTAAAGAATAACAGCACCTACTACCCAGGGCTATTGCAAGGATCAAATGAGTTAACATATACACAGTGCTATGCAAACCTTACAATGCTACATAAATCCTGGCTAGCTATTTTAAGTTCTCTCAAAACTCTCCAACCAAAACTACAAACTACATTAGAACAGTTTAATGATGTGCTACACTTTATTTCATTATATAAGCAAAGGTAATGGATGTATTAAATCTACCAAGAATTGCTGATCAGGGTCATCTGACCGCAGAAGATGAATGAATCTTCCCACAAGGCTCTGCTCATCAGCAAAGTCTTCAGGGTCCGGGTCTTCCACAGGTTGATCTGGTTGGTCTTGAATCAACGTTGATACTAGATTCATGATTGCATCCACCTATCAAATATAGAAAAGGGCAAATATATCGGTTACATTAGCCTACCACCAAAAATGATACTAAACACAACATTCTATCCAAAGTCTCTTGTTTAAAAGCCTAGAATAACCACATATTAGTGCATCAGTAATTAACTACATTTTTAAAAATGCTGTCTTGAGGGAGGTTATCAGTAATTCCTTCTTTATAAGTCAATTTAAAAGTGCTTTTGAAAGACAGCATGTACACACACACACACACACACACACACACACACACACACACACACACA